TGCTGGGATATCTGGTGCATGCGGAGGTTTCGTGGGTACACCTGGAGATTTAGTCAACGTGCGGATGCAGAATGACGTGAAACTGCCTCCCGCCGAGAGGCGAAATTATAAACACGCTGTCGATGGAGTGTTCCGTATTCTCCGGGAAGAAGGGATGAAACGCCTTTTCGGTGGTGCCACAATGGCAACTTCAAGGGCAGTCCTGATGACCATTGGTCAGCTGTCTTTCTACGATCAGATCAAGCAAATGCTAATCGAAAGCGGCATTGCCAAGGACAATCTCTACACTCACTTCACGAGCAGCTTCTGTGCGGCCAGTATTGCCACGATGTTAACGCAGCCGCTGGATGTCATGAAAACTCGACTGATGAATGCACCTCCTGGGCAATTCAAGGGCCTTGTTGACTGTTTCTTCTATACGGCTAGGCTGGGACCAGCTGGATTCTTTAAGGGCTTCGTTCCGGCATGGGTTAGACTCGCACCTCATACAGTGCTCACATTTATATTTTTCGAACAACTCCGTTTTAACTTTGGTTATTTCAAATGAATATTCTCTTGCGGTTGTAATAGTGGGCTGCGATCCAAAACATTTTCGATGTGAAACTTTGCCACATTTGATAGCGAATTTATAATTACTTCTGCCAAACGAGGTTTTTAGATGACACCTTTATTGGCCTAACGTTTCGACCTTCTCGTCTTCTTCAGAGGCCTGAAAATGGCTCGAAGCTTTTAATTTGTTACCTACCCGACCAAACGCCTTCCCCACTCTAGCGTTTCCTGAGTCGTGTCGCGAACCCTTCTGAACAACCCGGTAATAACTGCGAACAACTCACCGGAGGTTCTGTGCAGAGAAAAGGTTCCGTGGGCAGGGAATAAGGGCTCAGGCTGTGTGTTAGTAGGAATCAGTAAGGATGTTGTGACGTTACATGAGCCCGTTGCTACGACGTTTAGATTTATGGCGAGGTAGCTGAACACTTAAGTGACTCATCTCGTCCCTTTACTAAACGCTGCTTGACCTCAACTGCGTGAGGCTTAGGCTCCGCTCGGTGGATACCTTCCGCTGAGCTTGTTTTGTAGTTATTACCGGGTTGCTTAGGATTCGCGACACGACGTCGGAAAAGCTGAAGTGGAGAAGGGGTTTGGCCGGTAGGTAAAAGTGAAAAGCTCTGAGCCATTCACAGGCCCTCTGATGACAGAAGAACATTTACAGGCCTCTGAAGAAGAAAAGGTCGAAAGGTTAGGCCAGTAAAGGGTTTCTTCTAATGAGCCGTTTGGAAGAAGCAATTATATATTCGTCATCATGCCGAGGTTGCAACGAAGGACATGTGGACTTTCGATAGTGTTTTCAATAGTAATCATGGGACCTTTTTTGGATCGCTGCCGACCAATACAGGCTTAGGAGTGGATATGTTCGTTAAGAATTTGATAGATTGTATTACTGTATTGTGTACCGTTATATAGGTTTTCTTCGCTGTTGTTTAAGCCAGTCTAGCCAAGTGAATTGGTTTACGATCCAGACAATCGATGCATTAACCTCTTGATACGTTGATAGCTTTGTATCTAGATCTTTTTACAATGCCGGTATATCCGCCAGTTTTCAGTTTCCGGTGTTATTGTGAGAAATAAAGTCTTATGATAAAAAAAATTTCAGTGTTGATTTGCACTATATGTGACCACAGTTGCGTTTAAATCGGCCCAATGGATGAACATGCAGTTTTTGTGGGCACATTAACCGGCTGCAAGCAAAGAGAGGTAGACATTTCCTGCTTTTTCTTAAGTTTCCTCTCCTCGTCAGAAATTTTGTATCCTTTCACTAGTGCTGAGGATGCTGAAGGAGGGAGGGGAGGGGGGGGGTACGCGGTAGCCACGTCCTTTCTGCTCGTCTGTGCTCTGTCCGATGTACAGTCTCGTTCACTTCTTATGATGGGGCGTGTCAAAGGGGGGGGGGAGGGAATGGGTTGGCCGCAGGTGGATTCAGCCTCACCAGAGCGAGGCCCAAACCCGTTCTTATATTTGTTTCGGCAAACGACAACGCTATCACATCGTTCGTATCAGTAGTTTTCTACCAGTTGTTGTCGCTTGCCCGCATCAAAAACTGGTGAAGAGGGGGCTAGCGGCGCGCTAAACGCAGCCTCACTGGCACGCCCCATCATCTGCAGCAAACAAGACTAGTTTCTTCCTTCTCCTTCCTTGCCCAGGCTCGGCCTGTCAGAGCGCAGACGACCATGGTTGCCAAGTCCTAGTCCCCAATTCTCATAGCCCATTTTCATATCTGTTTGGGAGTTTCACTGCCTGTTTTCAGCTATTTTTGGCACAAATAGTTGTATTTCTTGCTTTGATGCTTCGGAATGTTTCACTGCCATGGATTTTTCTGGGCCGAAAATTCAGCACTAGCGCTTCTAAGTACTGGTAGGTCCTGTCTTTCACGATGTTATCCTTTTTTTTGTTAGAAGCTCACATCCGATTCAGTTCAACTTTTCCCTGTTAGAGTCAAAGGCGGTAGGTGCACTGCACTTCCTTTAAGGAGGCTGGGTAGAAGTTCCAACCGCATTGGTGATAGAATGGTTTCAAATTATCGCTCCGCTACTGTGGCCGTGCGTGCTTCTTAGCCATTGCGCAAATTGCCTTTAACTTAAAATTATCAGTTCAGGTTCAAATTCGTGCTGGATTACTTATTCCTTGTAGTACCAGCACTTCTAGTTATGACCGTATTCTCACAATCTCTGCTATTGCTGGCATGTGTGCTTCTGACGTGCTTAGCAACTCTTCTATTTTTCATCATTTGCGAATACCTCATCTCTCCGGACCGACCTGCTGCTAAGCTGGTACTGCACAGAATTGTTGATGAGAGCCACCAGCCGACTACATTTGTCACATATTTCAGGTTAGACAGAGAATCTATTCCCACGTCTCATGTAATATTCCTGAACCAAATTCGAATGTAAGATTTCAGAGCTTCAATGCTAGTTTCAGTGGCCGTCGCAATTTTAGGTGTGGATTTCCCTGTTTTTCCTCGCCGCTTCGCTAAAACAGGTACGGACATTTTTGGCTGGAACTGGCTCATCTCATCGTGGTTCACATTTTTTCAATATCCTATTTTCTGGAATATAAGGCTCATTTGTCAACGTGCTCACAAAGGCACGAGAACTTTGTGAACACAGTTTTTACGCGGCTGTCGCGAGAACTTGTTTAGGAATCCTTCAAAACTCTCTTGACGTTTTTTGGCCTTTTGTCTTTTTTATATAAATTAACCTTCCGATTGTTTTTAAAACATTTCCTGTTGAAAATATATCACTTACATCAAAACACTCGAAATACGCAAAAGGGAAGCAAAAAAAAGACATTCGCGACACTTAAGGCGAATGTGTGCCCTATCCACGGGTGCGCATTACCTCCCGGAGAATAGCGCAAATCCATTGGAAACCTAGCTTTTGTTCACTGTCTTTGTGGTCTTTCAGAGAAGTATGGCCACAGTTTGATGGATGTTGGCGTTGCCGGCTTTATATTTGCGATGGCTATTGCCAGCCGATTGAAAGCACTAAATAACTGGGATGGAAGAGCTCCGCGTAAAAGGTACATTTGCTCTTATTATCTTCTTGGATACGTCAGTTTCGCATTTGTGCGTTACAGAAATGGTACGGCTGCGTTCATATTTTGCGGCAGTGTCCACTAGCTTGCACCAGCGAACGGCGGCGTTTCGAGCGAACGCCAGTACTTGCGACTAGGGAAGTCAGATATCTTTCTAGCGTCCACCAGCGGCTGCCAGCGTCCACCAGCGTCTCGAGGAACTGGGAAAGTTTGCTAGCATACAGCAGCATCCAGGAGTGGGGAGTGTGGAAGTAGGAGGGTAGCAGACAGTTTTATTAAGCGTCGTGAAATCTCGGCGTGTGCAACCGCACCGTACAACTGGTAAAGCACAGAATTATGTAACCTTGAACCTTGATGTACGGTGTAGCGCAGTTCTGCGGTGCGATTGCACACACCGCAATTTCACGGTGCCAAGCCTAGCTGTCTGCTATTTCTACTGCTGGACGCTGTTGTGCGCTAGCTTGATACTTATACTTCCCCGTTCCCGCGAGAGGATGGTGGACGCTTGCAGACGCCGGTAGATAATGGTGGGTGCTAGACCGATATCTATCCTTTTCTAGTCGCAGGCACTGACGTTCGCTCGAAACGCTGCTGTCCGCTAATGCAAGCTGGTGGACGCTGCCGCAAAGTATGAAAGCAGCCTGTGTGATCACAACTTTCAGCAACCTAGGGAAATGGGTAGAAGGAGAAAAAGAGGGAGTTCATCCAGAAGAGGGAACAGGTCACGCTGCCTTAACTCTTCTCCTAGCCACATTTTGGGATAAATGAGGTCACTAATCAAATGTATCTGGAATGTAAGGCAGTAATTTAGTACCAAAAGCGATACACTGCTTCGTGGACGGAGACCAGAGAAAAAGATAGGTGTTAGTAGTAGGATGTACCTTGACTGCCTGATCACTGATTTGCTGCCTTGACTGATTGAAAGTAACTGGGTCATGAAGTCGCACGAGTGCTGAAAAACGTTGGTAAATTTAGCGCTAAAAAACTTAAAAAGGCACGAGAGGCATAGAACAATGAATGAGCACAGTGCCTGGATACTTTTTTGAATTTGTACGAGGCCACTCATTGCCTAGCAAACTCGATATAGAGCGCAGCATCATTGGAAGTATCCGTATTCGTTTGGGGTCGTACTTGTTCATGCTGGGGAAGGGATCGTGATTGACCTGAAATTCTTCTGAACCACAAATTCTCCCCGCTTCGGTGCCGGTTCTCTTTTCTGAAAAAAAAACATAAAATTACTGGGAAACCGGTATAAGAAGAAAATTTTGAGAGAGCAGGGGGTCCGCTGAGCTGTCGGAATACAGCTTAATGTGTGAAATGGTGGTCAGTACCCAATGCACCCACCTCGATGCTGAGCCCGACTCAATAGCTTTGTGAGAATTGCTGACGTTATTATCACAAGAATGCTGAGTTGTGGGCTAAAGTCGTGCAAAACCGGGGCCGCTTTTACTTACTTTACGACTTTTGCCCACAACTCAGCATTCTTGTGATAACATTCGGAACGCGTACTGCGGCGTTAAACAGCAGTTATCATAACAAAACAGCTTCAAAAACTTGTAAAGCCTTAGGCCTACGGGTTCCATGCCCGGGCTCACCAGTTAAAACATGTAGAGCTGAGTACAAGGCTACGGCATAAGCCGTTAAGCTGAGAGGGTAAAAGCGGCCCTGGTGGCGTAACGGATAGCGCACTCGCCCGGAAAGCGTGAGGTGCGGGTTCGACTCCCGCCTGGGGCACGACTTTTGCCCACAACTCAGCATTCTTGTGATAACATTCGGAACGCGTACTGCGGCGTTAAACAGCAGTTATCATAACAAAACAGCTGACGTTGTTTACAAACATTTTATTTTAGGTAACTGATCAGCCGAGCGCAGTTTGACGACCGGGGGGGGGGCATTTTGTACTATCATTGCTTCCTTAGTTGCGGTTTACATGTGTCTGGCGAGACTTGTGAACTCTTGACAAGGTCGTCAAGCCATCATGTTAAAACCTGTCAACTCGAGAAGAGGCTGTCTAGATAGGTCGACACGTCGATGGGAAGTAGCAAAAGTGCAAAATGCCCCCCCCCGTCGCCAAACTGCGTCGATCAGCCGATAATAGATCAGTTAATTGAAAACAATTTGTAGTCGTTACACATGGCTTCGATCTTCATTCGTCGTGCTGCCGGTAATAGGATTCGCTCGCACTATCTTTCTGACAGCCTTGAACTATCCGCAACATGTGACAGAATATGGTATACATTGGAATTTTTTCTACACACTAGCGATAGTGAAGGTTAGTTTCCTGTCTTTAGGATTAAAGACAAACTGTACGCTCACCTCTGAGAACGGTCCTTGAAACGTGCGACGCAAATGGGCCCACAGGTGCAGTACCGTGCCACTTTCTGGGATTGAAAATGTATGAGAGTTGGGCTGGAGGGTAGTGATACCCGGGTGACGTTTCCATACTCCGCCCGCGCTGAATGCGCAGAACTTGCGTCGATACCAAGCGATTACACACTCAGCGGCAGAAAACAATCAGAAAAGAGAGAGCGCAGACAAGTGTCGTGTTTAGCTACGTTTAGGCGTGGGTATGTGACAAGAGAATCGTGGTTCACCGCGCTGGTGAGCGTCGCGTGCGACGTCGCGCCGCAAATGACGATGGTTCCAGGTAGTAGATGGCGACAACAGGCAATTCAGAACCGAAAATAGTCATGAATGTCTACGATGACGGGGTCTACATGAAGTCCGGTGCTCCAATCGACAGGTTAACACGAGTTAAGAAAACGCCGCGCCCATCGCCGCGCGCGGCGAGCGGCAAATTACGATTCTCTTGCCCGTCTACCTTTAGGCGTGTGTGCCGTGCGATAGCGCGGGTGGAGACTGCATTCAGGTATCACCACCCTCCAGCCTCGTTCGCGTGCCCTTTTGGCGGAAGGAATTGGTGCGCTACTGCAGCTACGGACTTGGCGAAGATTCGGGTACACGTAGAATAGTGAAGCGTTTGTCTTGATATGATAAAGTCTTTGAGTTCCCATACAACTGCTGCATGCACATTTTAATTCAGATTGTATCTCACATCCTGCCAAAGAGGTTTCCAATACTATGGGCTTTCCTTTTTGCAATTTTCCAGCAGACCATGCTCACGAATGGATATCAGGTAAGTTAGCCTTGGCCTCTCTTGGCCTCTCACCTGAGTTTTCTTTTTAAACATACGTATCTCTTGATGAATGTGCCCATACTACCTTGAATGCACGTTGATTACGGGCTGTAAGTAGTAGCGTGCAAATAAGAATTCAAGGTACAAATTAACATGCGTACCGCGGCGTTTTCCCGCAAACCGGCGCCTGTGGCCGACGCCTTTTCATCGCCGCGACTCGTGGCGCGCTGAGTATAAACAAATGAGATTTACATCGCATACATATGATATAAAAACATTGTATATGGGTAACATTACACATTACATTTATATGCATAGATATGATAAATTACATTGAAAACTGTTAGGTTATAAAAGCTGTGAGCCGAAAAAACGCGGCAGTAGTCAAAAAGGTTGATAAATACAAGAAGAATTGCAAATGGAGCGCTATGTGTTCAGGAACTATCCAGTTATACTGTTTTATGGATTTTCAGCCATATCAGAACAAGAGTTTTGGATTTATTGATTATTGAGAAATAAACAAAGAATTGAGGACCTGAAATATTTCACAAAAATGTCAATAACTTAGGTCTACTTTGAGCTCCCTCATACATATTTCTTTCCAGGGGACCTCAAAATATACCCACATTTTTGAATCATCTAACAATGATAAACAAGTTCAAACGAAGCGTGCTTCACCATGTGCAGCACGCGGCCATACAGAGTCAAACGAGCGTGCTGCACATGGTGCAGCACGCGGTATGCAATGGGTTAACTGAGCAGTAAGAACAAGCAGAAGAAACTGTTGCAAGTGCGCCAAATAAGACTTTTTTCATATACAAGCTTGTGCAGAGTTTTTGGCGGTGAGAGTGCAGGATCGGACGAGTTCTCACCTGTACCAATCATGATGATACCAACCCCTTTATTTCACAGCGTCACTCCCTTCGAATGGAAAGACGTGGTAGTATGTTCCCGCCAACTGCATAATGATGCGCCCAGGTTGGCATTAGCATTGAACTTAGGGCGCAGCATTAGGCAGTGCGCGGGGCGTCAGCGTCTTCATGAGCTGGGGTCCGTACCTCTCAGCGCTAAAATAACACTCTATGGGGTGGGTATTGCCATCTTCCTCATGAAGGTATGGAAGGACTTCTATTTATAGTCAGATGATCGTGCAATGTGCCTTTAATTGTGGCTCAAAAATTAACAAAGGCGCTCAGGTGAACCCATAAGGGACGCATTTGAACTTCATTGCAGGAATGGATCATTGATGGTGAAAATCAACGAGACACGCTCTTCAGAGCTAATGTTGAAGGGATCTGTTCACTGATGGGATATGTGACAATCTACTATTTGGCTGATTCATTATCAGTCTTCATTTCTAAAGACGGGGTCAGTTGCTCTTTTCCATGGTTCCGTTTAGGCCACGTCTTGCAGTTGGGGAATAACGCCCTCTCCCTTTTCAAAACTTTCCCATCTATAGTGACAGTAAAACGGAAACAGCCAAAAGCCAAAGCCCAAAAGTCAGCGACTAAAAAGGATTTTCTTAAAACGAATATCAGCCTTCCCCGCAGCGACCAAGTAAAGAGAATCGTGATTCGCCGCGCCAGTGGGCGTCGCGTGCGACGTCGCGCCCGCTAATGACGACGATTTTAGGTGGTATTGGTCGAGAATAGACAATGTATGACCAAAAATAGACATAAATGTCTACCATGTCCTTGTCTACATGAAATCCGATGCTCCAATCGAAAGGGTAGTGCAAATTAAGGAAACGTCGCGCCCATTGCCGCGCGCGACGAAGCGGCAATTTACGATTCTCTTGCCCGTCTCCCACCTAGTACGATCCCCTCGCTTGGGATTCCCAAGTTACTACGTGCCCTGATTTCGTTATTGCCGTGAATACGCGCTTAGTTACAGTACTCTAACAAGGACTTGGTGTTCTATCGAAATAGAAGCCAATGGTACGTGACCAAGTAGGAAGCAACAGCGTGTGGGTTGGGAGGTGCAAGTGTAGCGACCCGGCGAAGGCGGCGTTGCAAGTCGCAACATGTTTGTGACGATTGGCTGTTTGTGACGATGGAACTTATATATTTTTACGAGGAGGTGCTAGTACACTAAACGCCATGCTACATCGCCTCTGGCACTGCCTACGCGATATACGTTTCACT